AGTATATATATATATATATATATATATATATATATATATACCGAACGGTATAACGAGCGGTATACTGCTCGGTATACAGTACCGTATCATACCAAGAGAGTGTCGAAACTTCGGTACGGTACGATATTTCAATCCTTGGTACTAAGTACTAACCAAGAATTGAAATATCATACCGTACTGGAGTTTCAACATTCGCTCGGTACGGTACAATACTACATATACCGCTCGGTGTGTGTGTGTGTATATATATATATATTTATAAAAGGCGACGTCGCTGAGGCAACGCGACGTCACCTCGCTTATATATATATATATATATATATATATATTCCGTCATGTTCGGTAACGGGCGATCCGTGTACTAGTCGACTGACGGACCGGTACATACCACCCGATACGGGCGGTATTATTTGAAACTGTATACCTTGGTACTAACTACTAAACAAGTGTAGCATTGGCACACTGGCATGCCAGGTCCGCTATATAGATCAGTATGTCCAGCACTGGAATCCTTGTTGACAATGGTTTATCAGTAAATCCACAAGAATACGAACATAAGTAAATCTGAAAAACATGTTTTGTACAGTTCAGCTAGTTCTACGATGAATTCTTAGAACTATAACAAAAGAAAATAACAGACGTATACTTCATGTGACCATGCCACTTATGAGTTGGTAATATTATCACTTAAAAAACCTTATCACACTAGCAGAAATAAACAAAGTCATGACTCATGAAGAGGGTTTAAGTTCCAACTCAATGAGATAAACACCATAGCAAAGTTGACCCAGCTAACAGTCCTTTGTTTGAGACACTACTTGGTAGGCCTAAAACAGATCAAATCAAAAGCAACAGGCTGAGTGAGATATTTTACTGAGATTAACAAGTTCATATAACTAAACAATGTCTACAAAGAGCATAGGACACAACAATGTAAAGGTCTGAAATTATCTTTGGGCCTGATATGGTGAAGAAACTGAAAAGATATTCCTGCAACTATCTGCATGCAAGTCCTATTCTTAATATATGGGTTAAGCCTCATTTGAAAGAAAAAATGAACTACTAAAGAACTAAATGTGAAGAGAATTTTATTTATCAATTATCAAACATTGCTTTACACCCTGTGACTCCCATATTTAATGCATGAGAGTCTACCAAATAATCTGTGTCACATGGGAAGAGAGGTTATGCTTTGGCTGGTTTTCCACACTTGGTGGGAAGAAGCCATTATAGAAAGTTCATATAACCCTTGACTCTGGATGGTGGTCATGCATCTGAAAGGCATCTTAGATATAGTTGTTTCAACATAGCAGTTGCTTTTGAACTTTCCAACAAATTCAGGTTATCATAAAAGGTCCCAACATCATAATAAAGATCTTGGAAACTGAAAAGAAAGAACATCATAATCTATCTTTTAGCAGAAAAGCCAAATGTCAGACTCAAAAACAAACCTTGTCATTGTTGCATTGCACATTTGTGATCGTATGGGATCGCAGATTGGAGCAAAAAGAGTCTAGATACGATCTGAGAATTGCCAAGAAACCTTTAGCGGCTTCAATCTGTAAACACAAGAAAAAAAATTAATACGCATTTCAAAAAATTCTTAGTACTATAAAAAGATTTATATGTGAAGAAAAAATTA